ATAATCATCTGACGAACAAGATCGATTCGCTCATTTTCAACTTGTGTATATCCCTGTGTTGTCTCTTATATGTTTTGTGTTGTTTTATATATGTTGTGTGCCGTCCCGTACATGTTTTATGTGTCTTTGTGTTGTCTTTGCGTCGTCCTTCTTTCTCTTTTTAGTTTTTCGATTTTATTTTCTCCCTTCTTTTTTGTATTTTATTTTATTAATTATTTTGTGTGTTCTTTGCCTAAACTGGGTTACCGGTATTGGCATTTCTTCTTCACTTCTATACTGATACTATATTTAACACGTTTACTAATATGAAAGTTGTTAGTCATACATAAACTATTGAACCATCAATATGTAGCGCCATCTGTCATAAAGTTAATTTTCTTTTCATTGTTGAGGCAAAAATTAAATAATTATGGCTTTCTTCGATCAATGGAGCACTCTAAAAAGTCAAGACACATTAAGTGTATTAACAAGATGATTCATCCGTCTATGCAAGACGCTTCGAGCTATTTCTGATTGGCTTATATATGTTCATTTTAGACACTTCAAGTGTCAACGAATAACCGATTTTAGACACTGACGTGTCTTAAAATTTCCTGATTGGATCCTTTGCACCAATCTAAGTAAGCGTCTTGGAAGTGTCATTTTTAGACATTTAGACACTTCCACTAACCTATGACTTACCGATTCTAAAAAAAAACGCTTCAAATGGACATTAACTACAAAGAAAATTATTTCAGTAAAATAATTTATTATTTTCATAAATCTCATTTTTTATTCTTCCCCAAGTTAAAAAAACTACATTCTCTTTCTAATTCTCAAGTTATTTGAACAGGAGGGAGCTTTATGAAAATAATAAATAATCTTATTAAAACATTTCTCCTTGTAATTAATGCTCATATTCAAGCGTATCTATTCCAGGACCTGTAAGTCATAGATTAGCTGAAGTGTTTCAAAAAGCTAACACTAAAGAAGTCCATGCATGAAGATTGAAAAGCAAATTAATAGATATTAAATTTATGAATTATATTTGTACCAAGTTAATTTTGATAATGATAATATTATCTAGAAAATAAATAAAAAGCAAGCTAGTATATCAAAAGTAAATAAAAAAATAAATTCACTAGTTTCAATTTTATTTTCGTAAACACTTTTCAATTATCGTACAAGCCCAGATGAATACAAAAAAAAACACTTAAAAATAGAAAGATAAAACAAAAATAAAAACTTCAAGTATACTCAGGGTTATACTACTATACCTTTGACCTATTTTTTACGTTTTCGACTAGCACTGAGAATCTATTGATTGCATGAAAACAAGATAACTTTTTTAAATGAAAAAAATATTATAAAGCTGCACAAGATTAAAAAGGACATACGTACCACGAAAAATATCAACAACTGAAAAAAAACACCACCTTAGCACCACTACGAAAATTTTTACTGATCTAAAAGAAAAAATATTAATTCTAGCACATAAAGCATGATTGTGCTCGATACACATACACAGTAATAAATAAAATAAAAAGAGTAAATAAACAAAGATGTTTGGTCAACTATAATGACCAAATAGTTCATATCATATTGATATCATAAAGAAAGAGTGCGCTAACATAGCTTTCTTTAACTTAAGACATGTCACTGTCTAAAGTACAGAAGTGTCTAAAAATAAGACGCATTCCGTGTCTAACATCTGTCTAAACTAGGCGTTAGACGTGTGAACCGTCTTGTAAGACACATGGCATTTTTTACAGTGAGGATCACTGTAAAAAATGCCATCCGTCCTGCAAGACGCTGTATCCATCTATAGTCTGGTTTAGATATGAGTTAGACGTGAGAAGCGTCTTATTTCTTAGACACACGAATTGAAGAAAGAAAAACAGATCATCATCCTCTTTCGTAATGTAATTTCTCGCCTATGCCATTGGTTAGTCATGATGATCGGCGGCTAAAGTATTTTTTTTTATTGCTAGTCATTCACTATTTCTTTTCATTGACTTTATTTATTTATCTTACTTCAGATGTTTTTCTTTATATTTTAGATCATCTTCTTTTTGTGGATTGATCAACGACTTGAATTTATTATTATATATTAAATAACAATAGTGAATTTAACTTTATTTAGTTTAAAAAAGAATATTTACATATATAAATATTCTTTTTTAAACTGTTTTTATATTAAAAATTATTTTTTTTATGGATTTTCAATATTGTTATATATTTTAGATGTCTGCAGCTACAACAGATGTATTTATCCGTCCTCGAGAAGTATGGGTTAACCAAGAAGGATGCAAGAATATGCGTCTATTCATTGATCCCCATACAAAAATAATTGAAGATATTAAGCTATTGGTATTGGGTGATTCTCGTAAACATTACCAGGCTTTTTATCTTGAACAGCCTTTAGCAGAAAATGCTGCTATTCCAACTGATGTTTCCTTCGAAAATCCCATCCGATTACCCCGCATCATTAATCATTCTTGTAAGTACTTTTTCTGCTGCACCAGCAAATGAATCACTTATTTTTTTTTATTCTATAATATTTTTATTTTCAGCTATTCCATCCAATGAACATGATAGTGATGCTCGTTTGAGTCTTCGATTGGAAACAGATGATGAAAGAAAAACCAGGACCGTCCGCGACAACCGTCAACAACTTTCTGAACGCAACAAATGCATAGACAAACGGCAGACAAATTGTACGACTAGAAGTATCTTAATTTATCTTTTTAAAATTTGCGTTTTTTACAAAAACTAATTTGCTCAGCTTTTCTTCACTATTAAAAAGTGAAGACAGTATTTTCGATAGAAAACTTTCATCATAGAAAATATCTATAATAAATAATGAAGAAAAAAAATGTTCGATAAGGTAGTATTGGAAAAATATAGGTTTTCTTTCAACAGACAATTGTTGAGATGAGTAATAAGAAAGATTTCCAACGAGAAATCATTCTTCGATTCTCCTCAACATCTTTTTCAAATGCATTTTTCTATCCAGTAAGTGTGGTACAAGTTTTGAGTATCCTAAATAGTCTGCAATTCATAGTTATAGTAGATTAAGTTAGTTCAAATACATACAATATTTTGTTTGACCGAGCTCTTTTTATGATAAGTAGAACAAAATAAATGACAATTTTACTAAACTTTTGCATTCTCTACGATTTACACCAGTCGAAGATTCTCTGTTGTTTCAACAATGAAACCTTATTAAAAGCAAAACCATTTTCTGACAGGTCAATTAGAGTAAGATTTCAAAAGTGATATTCATTTGGACATGAATATTCTATGCAGATATGGACATTTATTAGATGAGACTAGTGAAATGTGACAACTCTTCAGAACAATAATGAGTTGAACTTGAATAAATGAAAACCTACTAGAAAAAAATTCTTCAGGAAGGAAGAAAGATATTTTGCAAGTGACAATGAATGTTTTCGATGTTGCTGAAGTTTCTCAAAGAACATATTAGTTTTCGATAAATACATTAATATGAAAAAGCAATCCATTCTTTCGCTACTAAAAACAAATTTCAATAGAAAAAATATTTAGCAAAATGTGCTTCATTAACAGAATGACATCTGAATATGTCCGAGGAAAAGTTCATAGTAAAAGCGAAATCCTATTAAGCGAGAAGAAGACGTTCTTCAATGCACATCCGCTGTTCTGAAATACGAGCGTTATTTCGATAGACATTCCATACAGTTATTGAAAATCGTAGTTTTAGTATAACGGAATGCGAGTATAAGAATTGACGTCTTATCAGATATTTCTGTATTTTAATGGCAATACATACGGCAGTTGTCTGTGAAAAAACAGTATGCCAGTCTCACAGATTGTTGAACTACAACAGAGAAGAATATTTGCTAAACAAACATATTTTGAAAAACGATCAATAATATCTCGTTAAATTTCTTAAGATAGGGAAAGGTTTAAGACACGAAAATCTAGTAGTTCTCCTCGGTTTTTGACTGAAGCCTGGAACAAGTATCTTCTGTTCATTTTTGACAAATGAGATGAGCAAAACGTGTGAAAGACAAAGGGACATAAAAAAAAACCATCTGATGATGTGTAGAAGAAAAAGATTTTGCTCATATATACATCATATATTTATGTTTCTGTCATGCAATTTTCTTTTAAAAGTATAGTTTTGTATATTTCATTATGTATAGATAATCCAGATGGGGTCAATAGCATTGGTAGTAGTCGGGATTGCTTACTCTCGACTGGTACTTCTTCCGGCACCTGGACATTTCATAGGATGCTGCAAGAAGTGGCAAGCTATGTATGGCGCCGCATTAGTAATGGAAATAACACATTGTGCAAATCAAAGTCTGAATAGTGGTATAGTATGAATGTGCTTGTGCTTCTTGTAGTTGATATATTTTTGTAATGCTTGCACCTTAGTTGTTGGTGGCTTATGTTGAAACATTACTGCTTATTTCTCGTTTTTTTCTACTTTCTTCTAGGTATTTTTTTCAATACATGTGTAGTATGTATACATAATACAACAAAGTATTATGCTGCTGATGTCGTACTACCTTTTTCGCTTACTCATATTCTTTGACTAATGTCCGCGCCAGAATAAAAGTGGGGTGAGTGTAAGCTCAATAACTCGACAACCGCAATACCTAGCTACCTGCGGTTTTCACCAATCGAAAGAGGAGGAGCGGGCACGTCTTTTTCTTCGATAATGTATAAGACGAAATTCTT